CTGGATACTACTAGTTTTATAAAAGATTAATTTAAAAATATAATTTAGTTGAATGGATCTCTTAAATTCAGTATTATTGATGATTCTAATGTATACTTTTAGCAAATAAAGTGCTACCTTCTAAGATATTAAATGTGAATCCCAGGTCATTTCATGTTGAATTAAATGTCTTAAGAGCTCTGAATATGTCTGTCAAGTTGAGCTTGTATCTAAATTTCATTATTATTGTGACTGTGATTATTATTGTAATCAATTATGCATAATATCCTTTGATTTGCTTGCGTTCATGAGCACACAATGCCACATACCTAGTCATTAATATGGTTGGTTGACCAAAATAGTGATATTTCAGGCTTTGTTCTTTCCCTTTCCTTTATAATGAGTGCCCAGACATGATCTTTTTTTCTTCTCACACACATATAGATATCCCTCCCCATACTTTGACTCACGACTCATTCTCTTTTTTCAGACATTTCTAATTTTGTCTTTGTAAAGCTTTTCTTCACATCATATTTCCGACAGGATGTCAGTCCTTTTTAAAAACCTCCAGTGAGTGCATTTTGTTCTTGCCCAGAACAGAATCATCTTTTCTCTTTGACAAAAAGTTTGTTTCTTTCTGATATCGGAAATTTTTTTAGACTTCCCACAGTTTTTGGAAGTCTTCCATAGAAGTTATATCCTTTTAATCCTCCAACTTCCAGATTGCCCATACACAGTTATTTCTGTATTTAATTTAATCATACCTTTCTAGTCCTGATTCATGACCTCTATCCATAATCAAATTAAGTTACAATAAAAATACTGGGAGACTTTAATATATACTCTTTGCTTGTCTGCAAATTTTCATTACAAAAATTTAATGTAATGCTAATATTGATAGCCAAACACGTTATATCTGTTTGTATGGAGTTAATGAGCCCTCCTTGAAGGGCAATGCAAATGGCTGCCTCTGGGGAAACACAGATCAGATGATGACTCAGATTAACCAAATGTAACCTGGAATAAATTATTTAAAATCTCTGGACCATTATTTGATCATTTCTAAATAACAGATTTTATATCCTGAGAGATTTTTCCTAACTTTAATTTTTTAATCATACTACAAAGAAAAAAGGTATTTATTTTGAATGTTTCAACCTCTACAGTAGCAAGTTCAGGCTTTAATGGTATGATTTAAAGTACCATTCTATCTTCAAATCACCAGATGTAATAAATTAAAAGAATATTGAAAAAAAAAGTAATCCTAAATGTGCACCATTTTCCCAACATTTTTCTATTTTGCTCCAGAAAATAACATTTTTTTTCTCTTTTCAATGTAGGTAAATCTTTTCTCTTCCTGTGTGTAGGACCATAACTGACTGATAAAACTTTTTTCTAAAGAAAGCCAATTTTCATTAAGGGAATTTGGGAAATTATTTGATTATCACTTCCTATGCTCTTATCTATCAAGAAAAGAGTTATTTCCCAGAGGTTTTACAATGTCTAAACCCCTGTTATCTTCCAGTGCTAACTTTATGGTTATATATTAGAAATATGTTGCCCAGTGTGACCCACCTTAGTACAGTTATTCTGCATAAGTAGAGCATTCAGTGGTACTGCATTGATTACATTGGACTCATTAAAGACAAATTTTCACCTGTGAACCCAGTCACCAATCTAAAATTGTTATAAATATTTTTTTAAAAAATCTTTCAGTGATGGAAACATTAACTGCTTTCAAAAACGAAAGCCAAATGCTACTGGTTCCAGTTAACATGAAACTCAATAGTGCTTTATAAACATGAAAGACTACATTGGTTTAAGGCAACATCTTAATTACATGTTATAACATTATACCAATTAATGTCAGGGATCTGGATATGCAAAAGTATTTTGTCTATAATATGCAACGCATATATTATGTTTTTAATAAAATTTTATTGAAAAAGCCTCTTATATCAGTTGCATAAAAGATAATCAGTAAAGTTTCCTGTCAATGTAGCTTCAAGCATGATAATATACAGGAGAAATAGGATATTAACACTGAAGCTCTGGCTGACCTGAAATAGGTATCAGAAGACCCAGATCCTAATTTTGACTTATTGCTGCTAAATTGTCGTGTCACCTTTACATTATTTACCCCTATTTAGACAACTATTTTTTTTCTCATTGTAAAGAAAGGCAGGATCTGTACATTTGGCTTTACATTCTGACTTACATTTTAGTTAAGAAGGTCTTAGGTTAGAAAGCCAACATGTCCTGAAATTATTACCTGATTTCACTTTATATTTTTACCAACTGTTAACTAATCTTGGTCATGTTAGTACAGTGAGAAAAATTCTCCTGGCTTTCAAAATCTAATTGAAATTCAATGTCTCCTAAAATATTTCTCATAAAGTTTCCTTTGTGAAGCCCTTATCCTGGGACAGCACTCATCTTGCAAAAAATATTTATCATAGGAAAATTCATCCAAAGATGACATATGCATGATAATAATAACAAGGAAATAACTGGTCCCTAAAATCAGGAACATCATCTGTTCCCCACTCAGATTACCCAAAATATCTTTCTCTTGTAACTCTTTTTCTAAGAGTTAGCCTTAACTAGCAGTGAATAAGATATTAAGGCTACAATAAAAAACAAAGCATAATAAATAGCAAGCAGGATACAGAAGTCAGGAATAGATCCCAAAAATAGATGCTCAATAAAATTACTAGTACTGGTCCCAATGTTAAACAGATTTTTTTTTTAAAGCAACGTGTACTTCTTAGAATGAGAGGTCAGCATTGCCTCCAATGAGAATGGGGGATATGTTTCCTCCCTTTGAGTTTGGCCTACCCTGAGACTTCTTTATGATTTTTGAAGTAACGTCATAAAGTTGATTCAGCTTCAGCCTGGAGCTTGGGGGATGCTTATCTTGGAAGCCAGACACCAGGCTGTGAGGAAGTAGAGAGGCCACGTTTCAGCCAGGGACCTTAACCAAATTTAGCGGTCTACCGCCAAAATTCTAAGTGTGCATGCTTTGAAATGATTCCAGTCTTCAACTCTCAACTCACTTTCAGCCTTCAAGTTTTCTCAGGTAAGGTTCCAGACATCATAGAACATCACTGTTTCCCATGCTCTATCTGAATTTTAACTCACAGAATCCAGAGGAGAATAGAATATTAATGTTTACTACTAAAACATTTGGGACATTTTGTTATGCAGCAATAGATTAACTAGAGCATACTATATTAGCAAATTTTTTTCCTTTGACTACCAAGTGGGGTATGGATTTGTAATCACCCCATCACAGAAGATTGATAATAAATAGCTTTGTTTCTCATGTTAAAGAAAGGTGGATTTATACTGATCACTTTACAACATGATTAATGCCCTTCTGCCTATTCACTGAAATAACAGATTATATTCATTAAAACGCCCCTTTTATATAAATTATTCATTAT